TGCAAAGTGGACTAACTGTGGTTCACTGAAGGAATCTGCACTAGCTTCTTGTATTTCCATGTAGTATGAGGTGGAAAAGGAACTTCAGGTGGCTTTACACAGTTGCATCTTCTTTGTTTGCCAATTTGTTTTCCCTCCTGTCTGACTGACCTTCAGACCTTGAAATCTATGCTAAATCTACCATTTTCCTGTTTCTGACAGAGCTAATGTTTGGACAATGGGAAAAGAAACAGGAAGAACTTAGAGATGAGCGAGACCCAGAATTTGCACCGCCTTCTGATTACTTTTTGGGACAAAAGAAAGATGATTATCACCGAAGTCGGAATTTGAACAGTTCTGAAACCTCCTCTGAAAAACTGGAAACGGAGAGAGCACAAAACCAACAGAGGCCATCGGTGCCAGGGGGCAGTGGCAGCAGCACTGGAGATGTGCCACTGTCACCACAGCCTTCCAACACCAACGTTCCACTTAAGCCGGGGTCAGCAGAGCCCAGTGGCGGTGACACTCAGGGCGTGTCATCAGCAGAGGATGACAGCAGTGATGATGAGGACATGCTGCCACCAGCACAGGCTTATGGCTTCGGTGCCCGAGCTGTGCCACCCCCACTGCGGGGTTACGGCTACAGCGCCCGGGGCGTGCCACCACCCATGCCAGCCTATGGCTATGGCACCCCCAAGGTGCCCTTCCCAGTGCAGGCTTACGGCTATGGAGCACCAGGAATGGTGCCACCAATGCACAGCTATGGCTACGGCACTCCTGAGATGCCCTTTGCAATGCAGGCCTATGGCTACGGCACCCAGGGTGTGCCACCAGGAATGCAGACCTGTGGATGCAGCTCCCAGGATGTGCCACCAGGAATGCAGACCTGTGGATGCAGCTCCCAGGATGTGCCACCAGGAATGCAGACCTGCAGCTGCAGCGCCCAGGATGTGCCACCAGGAACACAGGTCTGTGACCTCAGCAGCCAAGATGTGCCACCAGGAATGCACACCTGTGGATGCAGCAGCCAAGATGTGCCACCAGGAACACACGCCTGTGGCTGCAGCACCCAAGAGATGCCGCCAGGAACAGACACCTGTGGCAGCAGCACCCAGGATGTGCCACCAGGAACGCAGGCCAGTGGCTGCAGCACTCAGGATATGGCACCTCCAGTGCAGACCAGCAGCAGTGACACTCCAAATCAGGAACCACTTTACCAAAGTTTAGATGATATGCTCTCTTATTATAGACAAGTGACTTGAGCTGAGCAAAAAGATAAGCAAGAACCATGATCTAAAGAACTGAAATGTAATTAATTATGTCCTCCACATAATATTATTTTCCCACATATGGGAAAAAGAAATTTCTCTAAGTACATCAGAATAAAGCTGGACACCTAAGCTGTTGTACATCACAGCTCTGTTTTGCCCTGTTGGTTTTTTTTATTCTTACCTCTTTACTAAAATTTAGCTTTTCAACTCTTACACCTGAACTTAAGGCTGTATTAATTACTTGCTTTCAAGAGATAAACTCCTTTAGTTGGTTGCTCCCAGCTGGCTTCTGGTTTGGAGGTACTACAAGTTCAGTGACATCCATAGAAACAGTATGGAAATGGTAGGTTCTCTGCTGCCAAACACAGAATGATTTTGTTCCTCACTTAATCTCCTGTCTTTTAGGAAGTGCAGAATATTATGTAGTGAACAGTGGTGGTTCACATGGCATCTGCATTCCTGAGTCCCTCTGTAGCTCATAATTCTGTGCAGCATTTTAGAGTGGAGACATTGCAGAAATCAATAAATAATGATGGGTAGGCTGAAAATAAACAAAATACTGAAGCAGAAGCCTTGACACCTGAAATTACTGTCTTACTCGTTTAGAAGATCCTCTCATAATTCTCCCAAGTGTGTTTTTCTTGCATAAGGAGTTACATATATGGCTTTATTTAATACTTTTTTTTCCAAAAATTGATACGGGAGTCATTAAATATAAAAGCAGACCAATCTCTACCAAACTAACTTTTATTTCAGAATCTTAGTAAATGGGAATACTTACTTGCCATGTAGATTTTTATTTCTGAAGGTGATTTAGATCACTCCACTTGTATTTTAAAAGCCTCATACAAGGATAAGACCTAGAAAAGCAGGCTAGAATGGGCAATTGCATCTCAGGCTGCTCTGCAAGCCTGGTGAACAGCAAGATGTTCAGTGTGACTGAAGGACGTGCAGAACATATTCTGTCCTCAAATTCCAATTTAGCCTCAACTCCTACATCACTGGAATTTGCAGAGCAGGAACAGTACATTACAGTTATATATTAATTTAAGCTCAGAATACTATTGTGAAGTAATATAATACCACTATCCCAATTTTGGAGAAAACGAGGATAGAAAATGTCTTGGAGAAGGTCACGCCCAGTTTTCCAGGCTGGCTGATTTACACTAAAGAAGTTTCCTCTTCTAAGACCTCACAGAATCGGTATCTGGAAGCCATTCAGAGTAGGGTATAATTTCCTTGGAGCTGAACTAACTCTAAAGAGTGAGCAAAGCCTTTTCAAACAGTGGAGCTTGACTTGAATTGATTATGGCAATCGTATCCTTCAATGGATTTCCCTACAAAGAATATTTGTGTCTATTTTGCTGCTATTTTGATTGACATCCATATCCAACTGCCTTTTGAACTTTGTTTTTTCTGTGCCCTTCAGACTGTGATAACTTTATGTATACCTATGATTTAGGAGTTATATTGTCTTTGCATTAGTTTAACATTGAGCTGGAGCTGCAGTAAGAAATGAAATGCCATTTATTACGTAGTGTTATGTAAAAAGATGCAATCAAAGTGTTCCTTTGTTTAGCTTCATTTCCACAGCCTAATATTAAACAGGAGGGCTCTTGGCCAGGAGGGGGAATTCAGTGCCTACATTAAAGTTAAGCCTGTTGAGAACAGCTCTCACTGCAGTGATCTGTCACTTTGCCATTTGGTCTGCTTCCCTCTTGTCTTGCTTTTCTGCTGGAATGCTTTTGCATATTGTCTCATGCTGTGGAGCACACATTTCTGTTCACTGTCCTCCCCTCAGACCACCTCAAGTTAGCTTGGCTGGGATCAGCAGCCTCATTCATTTCATTCAGTAATTCCTGGGGCAAACAGTTCCATATTGATACACTGCCAAAGTTTTATTTTTCTCATATTTTGGAGCGTGCTGTCTCCCTGTCCCTCTTCCTCCTCATTTAAACCACCCCCCAGGTTGCACAGCAGTGGAAATGGGGGTGCAGGTGCACAGGGATCTGCCACCATCGGTGTGTGTGACTGATGAAAGCCAGCTCGTGCTCTCACTGAGCACACACAGCTGTGAGCACACTCTGTCTCTGGTTGTGTCTCACGGCTTGGAGCTCTGCCCCAAGAGCTACCAGTGGTGGCTTCTGTTGCCTTCAGTGCTGTGCACAGATGCAGGAGCAGTCCCTGCTCTGCAGCTAAGGCAGCTTTGTCCTGCATTTTTGTGTGAACAGTTTCCTGTTACCAAAGGTGCCCTTATCCAAAATGCAAGACTGATGCAATCTTGAATTTCAGCCTTCACGCACTCTATCTGGCTGGCAGGACTCAATCTGATGTCCAGAAAAGTACTTTTAGAGAAGACAATTTCCTCGGTATCACCACGGGCTCATTTATCCCCTTTTGGAGGGCAGCAGGGACCTGATCTTCCTATGAACCACGGGCACGTGAGATGAGGCTGATACACGGAGTACAAACTACGTGTCCGCAGCTGTGTGAGCTCGGGGACCGACGCCGCATCGCTCGCTGGCTCCTCGGGGCTCGGGCACCGGCAGCGGTGCCGCCGGGGCGCATGCGCAGAGCGGCGGGCACGGCCCGCGCCCCGCCATTCCCGCGGCCGCCGCGCGGGGGCGGCAGAGCCCGAGGAAGGGCGGGACCCTCGCGCGCGGCCCCGCCCGACCCCGCTCCCGGTCCCGACCCCGGTCCCGGTCCCGACCCCGGTCCCGCTCCCGCCCCGTGGCAGGGGCGCTGCCGGCGGCCCTCGGCACGGGCTGATGGCAGGGTAAGGCCTGCGCCTCCCGCTCCCAGGTATCCAGGGCACCCGCCCTTCCCGCCCTGCTGAAAGGGAGCCTCGCGTTTCCGAGGGAAGGAGGAAACGCCTCTAGCCCTTTTAACAAGGAAACCCTGTGAGTAGCGCTTGTGCACAGAACAGCCGACACCTGCGGTCTCTTCCTTAGGAACCCAGACTGTGCAGACCCAGATTTCCCATGTACCTTCCCCCTGCCACTGCAGCCCAAGTCTCGGGGTTCTCAGAACCTTCCCTCCCTGCAGCCATCAGCTTTGCCTGACAGCAGGAACAGTCTCTGTATCACTATTTCTCTTCAGTAATAAGGCTTTTGAATCGGTTCTTTCCCGTGTAATTCCCACCTTAGGAACAGCACATTCCTTCCTTCAAGTCTCCATAACCAGAGTTCAGTCAGTGCCATTCATTTCACGAACTCAGCTACTGCTCCGCTCCCAAAAGCACTGCTCCCCTCCCCTCTCCACCCCAAAGGCATTCCTGTGATGTCAATATGTAGACCAGGAAAACGGTGCAGGACAATTTGTAGGACAAAGGCAAGTGTATGTTCAGCAGGCAGTGGGACCATAGGGCACAGCAGTGCTCTAAAGCAGGAACACAGAAAGGAGTTGTTTTGGAGTGGCTGACCCCAAGGTGCTGGTGATGGAAGTATAACCCAACTTTTGTTCAAAGAAAACTTAAGAGTTCTTAGGAGAGCACACACCGCTATAGCCACATCTCAGACAACTGCAGCTAAACCTAAGCCTCCAGATTAAACCCTGCAGATTTTAACACTCAGGCCCTGACTCCACTGTCAAAAGAGAGGAGAAGTTGAAATTTATTCTCACAAATGACTAGCAAATGACCAGATGCACTCAGGCTGCACAAGGGCACACATGCTCTTCAGTAAAAGTTTCATTTCCGGTGTAAAACAGTAAAGGCATTTTTAAACAAAACCTACAGGTAAAGAGAAAATATCACATCTTAACAAAAAGGATTTATTGTGACTAAACAAAATGTACATTGTTTCCCAAATGACAGAGTGTTTTCAAGACTCTCTGAAGTCTGCAGGTCCATTGAGTAACTTGATCACTTCTCACCCTGCAGTTTGATCACAAACTACTTTTTGCCAGACTTCTTTATTCCACCACTGGCTGCCAAAAGAAACAACACAGCTGGTTAGGTGACTGTGACAGAGCTTAGCTACAAATGCAGCTCCTCATAAAGCTGAATCCCCCCACTAGACAGCCTGCACAGCCCAGGTCCCCACTGGTGAATTGTTTCTGCACGTGTGACTCCTCCTGTGTGGTTTTGATCTCTCACACCTCACTGTGAACAGTGATTTATTTAACATTAGAAACTAAGTTTCTCCTGGAGCCAAATATGCCCTGTGATTCTACAATGAAACAAAATGTTCCAACAGTTACTTTGTTTCTCCGTTGATTATTTCTTTTACAGCAGGAGCAGCCTGGTCAAATCAAAATCAAGGCTAAGGGAATAAAAGTCTTGGTATCCCTACACCAAAGTCCCCAGCTGGGATCAAAGCTCTACAGAAGCAGGTACTGGAATTCCCTGCAGATGACTGAAGACACTGAAGTGAAAGAACACCAGGTATTGACACAGCAACAAGTGTGGCATTTGCTGTAAATGCTGTTTTTCTCCAGTTGTGCCAGGTATGACCAGTGGGAAGGAAAGAGAACAGCAAGGCTGCACCAAGACAGACTGCAAGGGCCGAGGGTCAGCAACAGACCCTGCATTGCAACTTGATTCCAAGAGCATTGCCCTGCTAAGGCTCTTGGAAACAGGCTGGCCCTGCCACAGCAACACAGCAGTTGTTACCTGCTTTGGTAAGCATCAGACAAGGGCCAGACGACTGACACCGAGTCTAGAAAGGGGCAGAGAAAGAACTCTGAAGAGATCTGTGAGCTCCAGCACCCCACACAGAACGAGCTGAGGATGGTAAGGACAGGACAGAGGCAGGCAGGGTGCACCCTGGGACACCTCTGATGGGACCATGGCAAACACTCTGCACTCACATGGAGCAGGTGAGTGCAGACCATGTGAGCACTCTGACTGTCACTGAGACAGAGACTGGCCTCCATGGGCCTCCAGGGCACGCCCTGTGAACTCACTTCATGTCTCATGTATTTTACAGTCACTCAGGAGAGGGACTGAAGCCAGACCGGCTTCCAGTCACTTTCTTATAATGAAGAAATTCATCCTCTCAGAGGACAAGCAATGGATTTTTTAAACTTGGAGGAGTGTGGCAAAGCCTACATGTAATACATCTGAAAAGAAAAGACTGGTTTGCTAAAAAAAGAGCAGAAATGTCCCTGCACATACCAGTGGAATAAGTCAGTGTGCCAGACACAGCAATTTGCCTGCTGAGCCAGAACCTGCATCGTCTGGGGATGAAAATGCATAGAAAAAGAAATAGCCTCTATTTGTTTCACATCATCTGTACCTGCCATCAATTTATTTATCTATGTCAAAAAACCCAGCGGCACCTGCCTTTTTATGTTTATCAAGCAAAAACATTAAATTTTTCAAGCCAGCAAGACCCCATTTCTCCTGCCAGGAGGCACCTCACTTACCCAGAGGCCCTTTTCCAGCAGCTTTTGCTTTCATCTCCTCAAGTTTCTTTTGCTCCTCCTTCTGTTTTTGTTTGAATGCCAGGTCCGTCTAAAGGAAAGACCAGCAGCATTTTTTAACATCTCTCCCACAGAAAAAATCAAAAACAACTAAGAAGCAATGAAAAACAAATGCAATGTTCCAGCAGCAACAAACACCTGACTGGACCGAGGCAGGATGGCTGAATAATGCTAAATATGCAGAATATTGCAGAACTATCACCAAGGTTTTTGCTGTACCACAAACTAAACTTTAACTCTGTATGTTTGGTCTTTCTGGAATTATTTCCCATGGCATAATCTCATTTTGAGATTATGATTCCTCTGACTGATAAGATGTTTGCACTAATACCATTCATGAACATACCCTCGGTGACACATGAAGCTCAGCAAACAGGCACTAGCAAAACATTTAGGCTATAAAGAATGTAAATAAAATAAAGCTGCTTTCACCTGTAAAAAAAGCATAATTTTAAAAAAAAATCCTCCACATATATGTCATTTTTGCTGGGTTTAATAAATTTGTATTAATTCCAAGCAATCTAATGAGACTGCTGGCAAATTGTACAGGCAAGGCAGCTATTGAGCCTCCTGGCTGGATGAGCCTCCAAATCCAGGAGAAGTCAGACATACTCTGTCCCTTAGATACACATTCTTCACAGACACCAAGGCTGAAAAGGACACAGATTTTCAACTTGGCACTCAGGACTTTGGGGAAACTGAAATTATGACTTTGACAACTGAGATTCCACAGATTCTTCACCAATCCAGTCTATGGCTCATCTTTACAACCACAACCCTCTTCTTTCAGTTAAAGCCTCCCTTGCTGCAATGTAACCGTATTACCTCCCCTACCTACCCCTCACAGAACAGAATATTCTGTTTCTCTCTCCAGGTTTTCCTGTCTCCAGTTGGCTAATGTGTCTTTCCTAGTAAATCAACCCCTCACATTTATCCACTTCTGTGGGGTTTTTCTTGCAATGTGTTGCTCCCAAGTGCTCACAGTATTGCAGAGCTGAGACAAAAATAAATATTACATCATTTGACATACAAATGTTTATAACTTGGATCCTTGTAAGCACCTTATTATTTATACCATTTCATTAACAATAAAACTTATTTAGAAAGCTATGGGTCTTTTTCCTTTTTCAAAGAGGTATTCTATTTGCCTTTTTCCAAACAGCGGCACCTCATCCATCACGCACTATTCTCAGAAATAGCAGCTGACATCCATACTTAAATGTAAGGGTTCAGAGTATCTCCAACACGCAATTCACTCGTACTAGATTTATCCAAGCGACACAATAATCCCAGGCTCCTGGGCCCGCAGGGACTGACCGAGCCCAGCTCGCAGTCTGATGCTCCCCCGGCAGCCAGCCCTGCTGCATCACCAGCACGGGGAACGCGGCCGGGATGTCGCCATGGCATCGGGAAGCACGGAACGGCTTGGGTTGGAAGGGATCCTAAAGATCATCTCGTTCCAAAGCCCTGCCATGGGCAGACACACCTTCCACAAGCCCAGCTTACCCCAAGTTTCGTCCAACCTGGCCTTGCACACTTCCAGGGATGGGGCAGCCACAGCTTCTCTGGGCTGTGCCAGGGACTCACCACCCTCACAGGCAAGAATACCTTCCCAATATCTAATCTAAACCGCCTCTCTTTGTCTTGGAGCCCATTCCCCCTCGTTCTGTCACTGCCTGCTCCTGTAAATCCCAGCAGGAACCCCTCGGGCAGCCAGGCCCGCCGGGTCGCCCACAGCCGGGGCCCTCCCGCCGCCCTACCTCATCCAGGTCCTTCGTCTGCTTCTTCGGCTGCTTCAGCGGCTTCTTCTTGCCGCCTGCAAAGACAGAGGAGACAGTGAGGGCCGGGCGGGGCCGGGCGGGCGGCACCGGCGGCCCCGGGCCCGGCCTTACCCTCCCGGCCCGACATGGCTCCGCTCGCTCCGCCCGCTCCCGCCGCTCNCAGGGCCGGGTCGGTGGTGCGGAAGCAGCCGGCTGCGGGATGCGGGTGCGCGGCGCCGCCTCGGCGGTGCCGGGCTGCGTTCGGGAGCCGTGCGCTGGAGAGCCGCTGGCCGCCGCTCCGTGTGTGCCGCAGCTTTTGGGAGTGTGTTTGTCAGGGACGGCAGGCTGAGGAAATGCTGCTTGCGAGGGAAGCAAGAGAGGAAGCAGGCACGTAATCGCAACTTTCTTGTGTCCTCTGAGCTCAGGCTGAGATCGCGGTCATCACAGTCTGACTGTCTGCACAGAAATTCTTAAATCTCAACTTTCTCCCTCTTTTTTTTTCCTGTTCTCCAGTACCCTGAATATTAGGTTAAACTCTTCTGGTAGTAATGCAGTTAAGAGAGGGGAGTTTTGCAGTCTGGAACAGACAAAATTGAGCTGGTGTTTATGTGGCCTGCAATGCAGAGTAGGTGTTCCACACTGCTGCTGGCAGATGTGCCAGTGATGCTGGCAGGAGGGAGAGCTTCTTTCATTTCCATGTTCCTGTGGGTTTGATCTTACGTGTTATGCATGTAAAACAACTGGTAAGATTTTCATAATGTCACTTGGTGTTATTATTAGTTGTTAGAGCTAGTCAGCAGGTCAATGAACCTGTAGTGGTCAGAATTTTTCCAGCTGTTTCAGTACTTTTTTGTGGAGATGCCTGTATTAACCACCTAAAACTAACAAGGAAAGCTGTTTTAAAATAATTTTTAAAACTATGCAGCAGCTATCAAGCGTTCTCAATAAAAATTCATGTTTTCATATTAGTCAAAACCTAATATACTCAAATTTCATATGAAACCCAACTGAAAAGTTCTCCAGTTTCTAGTTTTTAGAGTAATGTGCCTCAGTAGAACTCTAAGACCATATTTAAAATCAGTAGACAGTAAGCCATAACTAGCAGCCTGCTTTTGCAAGGTAAGCAAGAATTTTAAGCTCATTTTAAAATGCAGCCCTGTGTGTTGGAATGCTGTGTGTTCACTGCCTGAGATTTTTCTGTTCTTGTGGCTCGTCCTGGTTTATTATTTTGTAGGCAGTCTCATGGGAATACTTGTATTCTGCTCAGCACTTGTGGGTTTTCCCTCTGTCCTTTGTGTTTTTGTCTTTGCATCCTTCAACACTTCTTGTATCTGTGCAATGTAAGATAAAGAGAATGACTGAGCCACACTTCTTTTATTATCAAGATTTTGTCCCCTCTCTGCCTTTTTTCCTTTTCTGTTCTTTTGCAGAATTGTGAAGGCACAAAACCACGTCGTGCAGTCACTGCTCTGCTGAAGCACTGAATTTCTCTGAAGTTCCTCCTGCTGTTCCTGGATCTGCACATGATCGCTGTTCACGCCGTGGGTGAATTAGTAATCAAGAAGCATGAAGCATGGTGGGAGTACTTCCTAACAGAAAATCAGGAGTCGGTGGCACAATTGCACTTTGTTGAAAATTGTGCAAAGTTCTCTAGGTAAGCAGTGGTGTAAAAGTAGCAATGGTTTAGCCATTCCTGAATTGATTTGTTTTGACACACGTGTAGCTGAAGAGCTACGAATCAGCCGTACTTCAATAACTTCTCTTCTTCTTCCTTGTAGCACTTTCATTTAGTAATTAAATTCAAGACATGGGGCCTATGAAATACAAATCAAGCGTGTCCTCAGTGTCCTGTGGTCTGCAGTATCACCATTCATTGATGAAGTGGAGTCCAAAAGTGAATTTACACATGGTGAGGACTTACTGCCCATCGGCGCCCAAGAGGCCCGAAGCCAAGTCTGCAGTGGAAATGGCCATGGGTCTCCTTCATCGGATCACGGAATCAGGGACTCTTATGGGCAAAAACTCCCTCCAAAAGGTGTCTGCAACATGCAGGAATTGGTGGGACAGATACGAAGAATTTGTTGGAATCAATGAAGTTCGAGAGGCTCAGGGAAAAGTGACAGAGGTAAAGATGGATATAATGTGCAATTTTTAAAATGATGAGTAGAGCTGTATGAAGCATAAACACTGTATGAGGCAGAAAGGGTTATTCAAGGAGAATTATGTCTTTTTCTGCTTTGGCTGTCTGTGCAGGTACTGTGAATGTGTTCTAGGCTATGCATGTAGTAAATAGAGCTTGTCCTCTGAATTGAATTGGAGTGTGTTTTATTTGGTTGGTGGTTTTTTTCCTCCCCACGCCAAAAAAAAAATATATAATTAGCAATTCAGGTCTGTACGGTAGTAAGTGTCTAAAACAAATGCTCTTTCTTCTCAGGCAGAAAATGTCTTTATGATAGCTCGAGGGATAGTACGAGAGGCTCGTGAAAATGTAGAAGCCCAGCAGATTAAACTGAAGGAAATTCGGGATCGCTTAGACAGGGTCTCTCGGGATGACACCCAGTATTTAGAACTGGCTACTCTGGAACACAGGTTGCTGCAGGTAATTTGTTGGTACTTAAGTGTTGGTGAATATGCTGAAAATTTGTGTGCTTTGTTTCCTTCACTAGTGATTGTTTTTGTAGATGCAGTTCAGTTCTGAAGTGATCAGAGTTAATTTCTGAGGGTACTTGTTTTACTTATTATTTATTATCAATGGTTTGAACCCCTGTGCAAGTTTTATATGTTAATGCTAAAGTAGAGTAGTAAAGTTGGAGAATCAAACTGAAGATAATGAGCCTAGATAATTAATTGTTGTAGTGGTGACCTGTACACGAGTAGTTAAGAAAAAGCTGCCATTCAATGAATTAACTCTCCATGGGATGAGAGAAACTCTTTTCTGGCTAATCCATGGAAATTCTCTCAGCTGCTTTCTGCTGGTGTCTGGAGAGGTTAGCAGGGCTGAAGCAGTGAACATTATGGGGAGTGAAAGACCTTGCTCACTCATACCCATTTTCTGTCATCACGTGGCAGATTCTCATGTACAGGATCTTCAGCTGTGATTCCTGAAAACCTTTTCCATTTCTCAGAATTAAAATGATGCCTCATTGACTTAAGTAGGATTAATAAAGAAAATCCCACAGTCAAGGGAAAATTTCTGAAACTACTAATAGATGTTCCCAGTTTCCATTCCTTCAGCTGCACTGGGGCTTGGGGGTTGGTTAGGGTTATTTTTTCCTTTAGTACAGACTTTATAGCTTCATATTATTATACCTTCTCTTTTCATCACTCTGTTTCTTGCAGGAAGAGAAGAGGTACCGAGCTGCATATTTAAATGCAGAAGAATCTGAGAGAGAAAAATTCTCTCTCTTCTCTGCAGCTGTCAGGGAAAGCCACGAGAAGGAACGCACAAGAGCTGAAAAAACAAAGAACTGGTCTATCATTGGCTCTGTGCTGGGAGCTGTTATAGGTGTTCTCGGTTCCACCTATGTCAATCGAGTAAGGCTGCAAGAATTGAAAGTCTTGGTGCTTGAAGCACAGAAGGGCCCAGTCAATTTACAAGAAGCCATCAAAGAACAGGCCTCCAGCCATTACTTGCAGCAGAAAGATCTCAATGATGTCATAGAAGACCTAAAAAATGTGCTGCAAACAACAGCATCGAAGGGAGGGAAAGAAGGGGCTTTGTTAACTAGAGAAACCAGGAATGACTCCATAAAAATAGATTCTCTTTTAATGCCTTTAAATGAGCAGCTAAACTACATTAAACAAGTCAGTTCATGTCTAGGGAGTTTACAACAGCAGTTTAACAGTCTGCAGGAAAGTATCACACAGGTGCTGTCTGAGCTGCAGAGTGTCAAACTCGCCATCCAGTCCCGACCTACAGAAAGAGTGATGCCAAGGCCTTCAGGGGAGGGCAAGGGCCAGGCTGCTGCTGTGAGAGATGTGATCTTGGAATTGTGTGATACCGAGCGCAGACTGGAAACGCAAATCAAGAGAAGTTCTATTTACAGCACTGCACTGACATGTGCTATGTTTGCCATTACTCTGCCTGTACTCTATATCATACTGAAAGGGAACTGATCCCCAGTTAATTGCCACAACTTATTAGATTAATAGAAGTAAACTTGCACTCTAAGTACCTGGAGTACAAGTCCAAATAAAGCTGCTGTAGTGTTTCTCATTATGCCTTCTCCTGTATATTTGAAATACTTGAAAAGCCTTAGTCCATTACTGCTGCAGGCTCCATGTCAAGTCTCTGTCACACTGTGCTTTTTAACAAGCAAAGGAAATGCCACAGCTTGATCTGTTCATTTCATTCACTGTTTCACTCTTACTGTCTAGTCTTGTGTATCAAAACAGCACCCAGAATGCCCCTCTCAGCCCCAGATTGCATCTGTGAGGCCCAAAATGGCCCCTTCAGACCCTGAGTTGTACCCTGCTTGCTCCCAGTGCCCCACATCACCCCAAAGTGGTCCCAGTTGTTCCCATCAGGCACTAACTAACCTCAGTGGTCCCCAGTTTTGCATCCCCAGTGACCCCAGTAGCCCAGACAAGCCCTGTGGTGTAATCAGGTACAAGCCCTGACCCACAGATCCCTGTACCCAGCCCTGGGCCACTCTCTGCAGCCCCCAGCCACCTCCCAGAACCCTTGAGATTCTGGGGTTTAGATACATTTATTACTGGGACAATAAAACATGGGTCAGGTTTTGGGGCCTGACCCATGAACTGGTCCTTCCATCCCCACTGTTCCCCTCCAGGTGTGGGCACAAGGAGGAGTCTTCTTCAGCTGCACAGTGCCAGAACTGAGCCAAGGTGATCCCCCCAAGTCCTGCATCCCCTCAGAGCCATCAGTGTTCCCCTGTCCCATCCTTCTCCCCCAGGACACCATGAAGTCCTATTGCATCCTCACCACCCCACACTGGGCACTACTGGACCAAGTGACAGAACCTCAAGAAGGACATGATACAACTGATTGAATATACAGCAATTCTCACTCTGGAGCTGCATTTGTGATTCCCTGTTCCAATTACTCCTTTGCTCTGTCGTTGATTTAAATGCCTCATGTATAATTCTCTGTTTTGCTCTTTATTTCTTCATAGTTTTGCCATTGGTTCATTCACAAATCATTAGGAGTTATCCTAACA